GTTCGAGATGCGTGTCCATGACGTTGCAAATTCCTTTTAAAAAAATAAGAATGAGATGAGCCTACCCGAATAAAAATACAAAATTGCGGGGCCCTCAGTAAATATTTGCTTTAAAATTTCTTAGACTTCGGGATGGACCATTTAGCAAAATTCCACGGCCCTACCCAAAGTAAATGATACGCTAGTCACTTTAGGTGCGCCTTTAATAATTTAATTTCCTTAAACTCGGGTGCACATTTATGTGACCCAAATCCAAATCTCAACGGAGTGAAAGTGTGTCGACGACCACGGATACATTGATTGTGACGCGGTTCGAGATACATTTTCACAACGTTGCAATTCCTTGTAAAAATAATAATTCCTTATCCGGATTTCTGGTGCGCAGACTGTAATATGGAGTCATTCTTTTCCTCGATTCGGGATTAAATTGGTGACTTGGGACACCCTAAATCTCCTAAGTGGCGACTCTGAAATAAACAAACAAATTCCGTTTCGATTGTCCTTTAACTGGAAAAAACTCCTACGCCCCCCGCGGGGGCGGAAAAAGGAGGTGTGACAAGTTCTACTGAGTTACCAAGATAAAAAAAACAAATGCTAGAGAAAATTGCAGGAATAATCGCTGGAGTGGATATGAAATTCTTAAACAAGACTATTATTTATAATTTTTAAAACTATGAAATTCTTAATTTTTAATTTTATTACTCAAACACGTCTATTAAATTATTTTTATTTAATCTTCAAAAAACTTATTCTCATTAATACAAGGTACACGTCGTGCAAAGTGCGTCCTTTAAGACTAATCTATATCTATCTATATCTACATCTATATCTATACTATATTAAAAGCACGAAGGTCCTTAGCGAAATATCGTTCGCCTTTTTTGTCCCTCTAAAAATAAATTTCACACTAAACAAAATAGTCATTTTATTATTTTTCTACTCTTTAGGAATAGTCATTTAATTAAGTTCCTAATATTTTGGAATAGTCATTTAATTATATTTAAAGATAATCATTTAATTAGGACGTTGTAATCAACTAAAATTTTAGTTATTAGATCTTTTCTTATTTGAAATATGTAAGAGTTGTCGGTTAAAATTTTTACCTTATTAAAAAAAGAGATAAAGAAGCAATAGCCCTAGAAAAAAACGTTATACTCGGAAGACAACATAAAAATTAAAAATCCTAAGAAACGAAATAAAGAAACCCAAATTACGGATGAACTAATTACTCTGCAGTTTGTAATGATTTATTTAATAGAATGAAAAAGATTCATTTTTGAAAACTTGAACCCTGAAAAGACTCGACAAAAAAACACAGCATTGTGACCTCACTTATATATTATCAACATGAAGCAAGTGAAAAAACACACACTTGAACTATTCAAAATCATCAAGATCTCTCTCTCAAGTGTGCTGCCATTTTCAAGTGACTTCAAGACTTTAAGAACAAAGCGATAACAGAACGAAGGACTAGTTTCCAACATTGTGTTACCATATGTCCTTAGTTTTATTGTACCTTTTTAGAGTGATCTGTTTGTAATTCCTACTTAGTTTAGTTAGAAGCATTCTATAGGAAATCGTTTGTAAAATAATAAACCTTGTGTTTGTGTTTTGGCTAGAGTTAGTCAAAGTGTGAGCTGTGAAACAAAGTTATTACAAGTAGGTGAGAGATTAAGAGGTGAATTCCTAGATTGCAAGAGTTTGTAATCTAAAGTTTGCTCAATTAATGAAGTTGAAATCCTACTAGTGTAGGTCGTGATTTTTAATCCCGTGAGCTAAGAGTTTTCTACGTAAAACTATGCTGTATCATTTACTTATCGCTGAGTACGCATTTTCTTTAGTAAATGATAGAGAACCAGTTCTCTATATAGTTTGGTGGACCCTAAGTTTCCATAAGAGGACATTATATAGTTGATTAAGGCCCATAGAAACACACTTGTATATTTCAGTAGTTCTTGACAAAAGTGTTCAGCGAGCTAATTCACGCACACACTTTAACTATTCAAACTATGGTTGTGACGTCCCGTCTCGGTCCCGTCCCGCGTTCCGTCCCGTCCCACTTTATTTTAAACGGGATGGGCCAATGTTAAATGGGACACGGGATGGGACGGGACGACCATTTCGTCCCGTCCCGTCTCTGCTGTCCCGCGAGTTTTTATGGTATATTTGTGGAATTTCTATTTTATTTGATAAGTATAAAACAAATCCAACTTATGCACCGACCATTAACGAAATGATTGCACAATTTAAAAAGTATTTTTTCTCTATTCCTCAAGTTTATTTAATTTCTACAATACTTAACCCGTATTTAAAATTAAGAGGTGCAAAGGAATTTGTTCGTAAAATTTATCAAAATTTAGCAATTCAAGAAAATGAACAACCATCTCTCGAAGACTTCCAAGCTAACATATATTCTTATGCTAGAATCTACATCAATGTTTGATAAATATAAATCTATGGAAACAACGGTGGTGAAACTGCTCCTTCTACTTCTAAGTCTAGAGTAGAAGTTCTATGGGAATATATGGATGATATAACATGTTTTGATTCATCTATTGATGATGAACTTGATTCTTAGCATCGGAAAATGCTTTTAGCGCAGCAATATTTCAAATCGGAGATCACAAACATTCATAAGCAAAGGACAACCTAGAGATTTCCGTCTTATTAAGAGATTGGATTAATGCAGAAAGAAGAAATCTTGGTTTTGAAAAATTAACCAATTGGGAAGAAGAAAAATACAATGAGATACTTCGCATTGGGACAAATGACGGCATGGAGCTCATAGAACATCAATCAACATTGCCAATTTCAGAACAATGTCCGAGAGAAATTATAGATAAGTTACAACGAAGCTATATAGGAGCTTACAAATATTAGTATGATAATTTGTAATTGGCTACCAAGAGTCCTAGTTCAAACAGAACCCTTCCTAGAAGGTGGCTGCGTAGATTAGGTGCTCTTCAAAAGATTTATATTTGTACGTGAGATTTTAAAGTTCTATTAATAAAATAAAAGGCTCTAAGCATTTTTTTATGAATTGTCTTACACTCTTACTTAGTTACTTAATGGCTTGAAATTGTATTAAATAAATTATAACTCTATTATAAATACTAGAATATTTCATTACAAGTCTTTTGTTTTAATATTTTATAATTCTTTACTTAGTTTTCCAATTTTCATTTTAACATTTAAGTTTATTAAATAAGTCAAAAAATTAGTCGTTGCTAACTTTAAAAACTTAGTCATTGTCAAAAAACTAGCCGTTGCCAAACTTAATGCTTAAATAATTTCTTTTAAAAAACAGCCCACTTAAGGCCTGCCATCCCGTCCCGTTCCGTCCCATCCCATCCCGTCCCATCCCGTTTGTTAGTGGGACGGGATGAGACGATCATTTCGTCCCGTTTATCCCGTCCTGTTTCGTCCCGTCCCGCCATCGTTCCGGCTAAATTCGTCCCGTTCCTTCCCGTCTCGTTAATTTTGTCCCGTCCCGTTGGACACCCATAATTCAAACATGACTTTTTCACTAGGAAACTTTTGGGGAAACAAGATTTTTAGCTATAGGTGGTACAACTCAAAGTGCTTTTCTTACCAATCTTTTCTTACTAGATTTAAGTCTTTCATATATCTATATTACACAATATTTAACTTATGGCCACGCTAATATATAATTTTATCAATAAACGCATAGAAACAATATATTAAAAGATTCATATTATCACAATTTTATCGCGTTTATCAAATTATCAACGGGTGTATATGTCAAAGAGTCTCTTTACTAGGCTTTTTCAATTTCTTCGCGACAAGCTTGAGGAGGCGCATCAATAGCTTCACTTGTGGGGGAGTATTACGATAGAATCTAAGTATAGGCGGAGTCAGGATTTTAAATTTATGGGTTCTGGATTTTAATTGCCTTAAGTTACATGGTTCTAAATTAATAATCTATACATACTCAATGAATTTTTAAGACAAATACAAGATTTGAACCAAAGCTACTGGGTTCGGTCGAACTCGCTTTCGACACTCTAGCTCCGCCCCTGAGTCTAAGGCTTGATATCCTTATTATATAACTTTATGGGTAAATAACGAGGAAATAATTTCTAGTGACCACTTACAATAGAATAAAATAATTTTTTCAAAACCTCTTATGTGTAAAATAACCAACAATACGTAATATTGCATAGATAAGAAGGTAAAAAAAGAAAGGAAGCCATTAATATTGTAATTATTTTGTTTCATTGTGACGTTTTGACTAAAATCCACGTGTACATTATTAAAAAGACAAAGAAAATTATAATTGTCAATATAGGATTATATAACTACGTTATTATTTTTGTGTTTTGGTGAATTGGGGAGCTCTGTTCCTGCAAGGAAGTGCTTAACCAGTGAAAGAGCTCTAGCAGGCTGATAACTTGGCACTTGATGTCCTGCTCCTCTCACTGTAGCAAATGTCAAGTTTCCTACGTATATTTGTGCATATCCACCAACCTAAATATATAAAAAACAAGAAATAACCCAAATAGCCGCTTACACAACTGCTTAAATTAAAAATAACCGACACACACCTCATCATTGTGGAACCAGGGATACCAAGCTGTTTTAATTGGAAGCTTCATCTTCTTAATAGATTTCTTAGTCGACGTTACTGGTACGATTCCATCAGTGTCCCCGCTGCATTTACAGACCCATGTATAAATAAATTAAAACCATTAAGAAATTTAATAACACTATAGAAAAGAAAAGAAAAAAAACAAGAAAATGGTGGCTTGAGGAGTTAAAAGTGTTCACCTGAATATCCATAGTCGTACTCCATTTGCCATAAGTTCTTTGAGAAGAGGAATTATTGTTAATGGGCTATCCGTCCAACTTTCTATGACATCACTGCAATATTTATAACTTTATGTCATAAGCATCATAATTGGTAACTTGATAAAAATTATAATTATGCTACTATGATAGGTTTAAATTGCACTGATAGCATTAACAATAGTTTCAGTGTCGATGTAACTTAAAATCTTATTTTTCTCTATGTTTTGATTTGACAAAAACAGAAAACAGAGGAAAAAGGTAGTGGGGATCTATACAATGCAAATGAAGATTGTCTAAATTAATTATGTAGTGAAAATACCTGCATGGCTGCCAATTATACTTAATTTTGGTGACATTGGCATGGAGAAGCTTTTGAACATCGGGACGATTCATGTAGGCAATTACATAATCATCACTGCATGGATCGATCACTTGCTACAATATTCCAAAAATTAAATTTTCTTGTTAGTGCAAGTACTCTAAAAGAATACATCATGAATTTAATAAACAAAGTGCTACATACATATTTAAAGCTTCATTTACATAACAGAATCTTCCATATGTCCATTCTATACAAGGGCAAAGCTAATGGTCAACTGACCATCCTTCGTCGGAAAAATACATTGCGTATATAGGTAAAATATTATATTTTAGAGGTATATAATATATATTAAACACTCTTTGTCGGAATTTTTTTTCCACTTCTTTGAAGTTTGAACACCCTTGAGAAAATTCCTGACGTCGCTACTGACTCTATAGACCATCTTTTTAACTTTATCATCAAGGTAACAAGGATAAGTTTTACTATTTTACATTAACATCAAGAGTCTCCATATGCTCGGTCATTTAAACTCGTCTCAGTACAATATTAAAAAAACTTAATTAGTTTGTCTTAGCACTGTAAGTTCTCTGCATTTTTTCAAGTGTGATTAGAAAAAATTCAAGCCAATCACAATTGTCAAAAACTCTAGCACAGTAACTTACTGAAGTTTTCTTGGGCTGAAGAGTGAGTTCGGAATTAGAGCATAAAGGGGCATAAATGTTGTAAACATCAATGGGTTCAGTATCAGCTATAGCAATATCAATGGCATTGTCGCACTCTTGTGATTGAGGAAGGGCCTTGTCTGAGAAATTGCAATATCTCTCAATTTGCTCTAAAATCTCATCTGGAATCAAGGCATGACTTGCATGGTACTCATACATCCCTTTTCTATCAGTCTCATAATTTATCACTGCATTGCCAATCTGCAATATTAAAAAAAAAAAATGGCAAGTAATTTCTTTGCATCTGGCTAAAACGATTATTGGTATAGTCTAGGCATCAAATTATAGCAAGAGAAAAAATGTCAAAGTAACTTTTTTAGATCTAATCTACCTAAGCTTTAGTGGACGATTATTGAAATAGTCTAGGCGCCAAATGTCAATGATTCACCCCTATATAAAAGAATCCAATTATGAAAAGCTATAAAAAGGGGAGATTAAAATAACTATGTAACGTTACCATTATCCCCTTTAGGTTGAGAAGAGTCTTCTTAGCAAGCTTGTTATGGTGGAGAATTGTTTGTGCCAATTGAGGTACAAAATGCCCAGCATAGCTCTCACCAGCAATATAAAAATCTCTATTTTTGTACTCTGGGAACCTCTGGATCCAATTCAATAAGAATATTACATTGTCAATGGCAGTATTTCTATCTCCATTTGATTTGACGTCAGAACTTGTATTTGAATATGAAAATCCTACTCCAGCTGGGGATTCCAAGAATAATACGTTTGCCTCTATAAATATGAGATAAATGTTCAGATTAAGTTTAAGTTAATTATTTTCCCAATTCCAACAAGAAAAAGTTATAAAACTCATTTAAAAAAATAATGAGTAATAATTACCATGATTCCATGCATAGTGATTTCTATACAATGTCTTTCCATTACTGTGGACTCTAAATGGTCCAAGTTCCTCCATAGCTCCATAGGCAATTGAAGAGCAACCAGGACCTATCAAAGATGTAATTCAACGCATTCAAAATCTAGAGTTAACGGATTTAGAATGAGCATAATCTTATATATATATATA